CCATTTCAGCCATATCGACATTTACTTTGTTAGTTACTAACCAATCTAAACCCAGAATAATTTCAGACACCATTTCATTAGCCACATAAAAGTCATGAAATGACTTGTTGTTTTCATCAAATTGCACATTCAAGGTGGATTTGCCCAAAATCCCAATGGGAGAATTGTTAGCGGCTTGTGCAACAATATCTGATGGAAATAATGGGTATCATCCAGTTTAAGAGGTTTCCACTGGTCTTTACTAAGTAATGAAATGGATGCGCCAGTGTCAACTATACAAAGTTTGTTTTTCCCATTAATAGTATTCTCGACCATAAGGGTTTTCTTCTTACTCGCTGAAGAAACGGTAGACAGTCTGATTTTTGAATCATTTCTCTTGGGGCTTTCACCATCTCTACTAGAACCCAGACCTCCCTCCAACTTGGCATTACAGAACTTTGCAATATGGCCACTATTCCCACAACGATAGCAAATGGTCACGTGTCTATCCATTTGCCAATTCTTATCATAACCTTGGAGCTTAGTATTAACTGGTTGTTGATTAGCCAATTAAGGGGCAGGATTTTGCCAAATGTCCTGGCTTTTGACATGAATAACATAACTTAGTTTGTGGCCGTGCAGTATTATTTTGTGGCCGTGCAGTATTATTTACACATGACCAAATCCATTACACGAATAACATGTTTTGGCAGCATTCAAAGAACTAACTGAGCCAATTGTTGTTCTACTTAATTTTTCTGTTGCTTCTCTGGCTAATGTTTTCATTGTGGCATTTTCAGCCTCAAATCTTCGAGCAATTAACAAGGCATCATCTAAACTGTTTGGTGGCTCTTGTAACAACTTGTTTTGGGTCGCCTTATCTCTCAACCCCAAAATAAATTGATCAACCAACCTGCTAGAATATTCGTCACCATGGAAACCACATCTAGCTCCAGCTTCTCGCAAAGAAACAGCATACGAATCAACAGACTCACCAGGCTCCTGTTCTCGACGGTGTAAATTGTAACGTTTCTCCGTAGCAGTCTGATTCCTTTCAAATAACGACTTCAAATTTCCAATCCAATCTTTGTACGCGTTTTCCCCTTCGCCAAACTCAACCGGTTCTGCCAAACGAAACGCATCTTCGCTCAAATTAAACAACAGCGCAAGTCGTCGCTTTTTAACATCTTCAAGTTCCACTGCTTCGAAGTACAGATTATATTTCTTGATGAACAAATCAAAGTCTTCGCCAATTTTAAACTTGTTGGGCCTTCGAAACAATGGCAAAGATAACTTATTCGTTTCAACATTCGGTGCTTCTGCTTGCTCAGGCTCGACTGCCATGTTTGCACGATACAAAACACACTCGAGTTTGGTCTCGGTGGGACCTCCAAAATTGTCACGAAGCACTACTGGACTAAGATAATACCAAAACTCTTTAATTATTTCTTTAATTACAATACTCAACAACGATTAATCTCCACAAAATACATCTCACGATTTCACCTTAAAAATTAACTCTACAATATCTCACTTCCATGCGGTTCTCTCTCCTCCAAAAACACATACACTAAAAGGCACTAAAACACATACACTAAAAGGCGCTTCTCTACAGCTGTGATCAATTATCCAAACAGTGCGACAAAAACAATTCCACTATTAACGGAGTACCCAGGGACGTCGCTACAAGGGGTGTGTGGGGGGGGGTTGTTACAGGGGGGTAACACACCACCAATAATTCAAAACGGTCAAAGTTGGTCAAAATGGAACTAATATTTGCATACAAATTGAAGGTCAAAGTTGGTAAAATTTGGTCATGTTTGCGCGGAATTGCTTATGTTAGTCCGGAAAATTTTTGGACAACCCCCATCTCCCCGTCGACAACATTTTCTGGAAACATTTCAACTACTTGGTCAAAATTCTAGGAAAAGTTGGTCAACACATGACAACACTCCCCAATGTTGATGTCTTCGCGACGTCCCTGGCCGAGTACCACAACGTTATAAGGCAGTTAGCGCTTGGTAATCCCAAATCAATTGTTTCGGCTTTTATGCACGTCAGCACGTTGAAAGATCAAGTCATTGAGGCAACAACCCGGCAGGGACGAAACTGGCCCCTTTTAATTCGGGGGGTGTCTGCTAGAATTGCCCTGCCAAAACCGATGATGCCCTGCAGCATTTTTTTATTTCTGACCACTATTTTTCCCAAAAGTGTTGGCTAGCGGGGGGGGGGGGAGGGTTGAAAAATGTTTCCCGGACATTAAAAGAAAGGGTCAAAAAAATTTCCGCACATAAACCAGTTAAATTAAGGGTCAAAAAATTTGTTACGTACAAATTCCTGTTAAAACATGGGTGAAACCCTTAGTTTTGGACCAATATCTGTAAAATTTAGTTCTTATAAATTCTATTCAATTCCCTCTGAAAGCCCTGTAAGTTACTTCATAACTCTACATTCTATCATTTAAAATCTTTGATTGCCCTGCCAATCCAGATAATTCGAATTCGCCCTGTCAATCCAGATGAGTCGTATTTTGGGGGTGTCACCCCCCCATACCCCCCCCCACATCAAGTTTCGCCCCTGCCACCTGGAGTATAACATGCATGTGAACTCCAACAGTTGTGTGCTAAAATTACACCCTCATTGCTACGTCAAACCACCAAAGATGACTTGAAACCTTTAACATGGAAGAACGTTCATGATGAACTAAAAGAAAGAACATCAGTTTTTTTGCGTTTCATACCAACAGCTGTACAAAACCCATCCAAGAAACGAAATGTGCAGAAAACAAAATGAAGTCATTATTCTTCCCATGTGTGATACTGCGTTGCAAGCTCATATCCATTTTAATTAGCTAGGGAATGTGTGCTACCAGGGTAATCAAAAGCGTTATCCTTAAAAAAGGTGGTCTTACAAAAGTGGGGTTCAAACGATTGTCTTCCACATATGTTTGCATGGGTTACAATTGCACAAACAACATTTTCGAGCGCTTCTACTGTGACCTGTTCAGGGTATTTTTTAAGAGATTGCAACTACTGGGGCCAAGTCTCGATGAGGGCCTTTGCCCAGCACAGTTAACTACCTGTGCTCAGGGGCGGCGTTATCCCTATTTGAAATAGGGGACGTGTAAGTGAAATTTTGCCGACTTATTTCAAAAGCTAATTTACATTTCTTTTCCCAAAATTGTTGGCCAATTAGGGGGGGGGGGAGGAAGGGAGCTTTACGGCTCTACATTAAAAAACTTTCCCCACATTGAACTTTTCATTTTCGTTTCGGTTAACGTAGCATTGTTTGTTTAATTATCCGTAATTTTTCTCTAAATTTTACCTACAATTATTGGTTTTTAATCAGTGTCACACAAATATTTTAGTTTCGTTCCTTTCTATCCAACTGGGATTATATAATTCGTTGATTGGGGGTGTTTCAACCCCACACCCACATCCCCCCTTTAGTGCCGCCCCTGCCAGTTCTAACTTTTATAAGATGGAATGTCGAAAATGTGAGAGGATATAAGAAAGCAGACAGATGCAGCTTTTTCAACAAGGTTGACTTTTTACTAATGATCAAAAGGGTCCAGCTCGTCTGAAAATCATGTTTCACCACTGGGGCAAGCAAAAGGCCTACTGGGGTAAATGCCCCGGTAGTTATATAGTTAAAAAATGCCCTGGACCTGTTGAAGTGGAAAAAACAAGTGGAAGAAGATGTGAAAAAGGAAAAGGAATTGTTGTTTGTGGTAAGCTAGCCTGCGTAGCAGGCGTTTTGTACCGGCGGGAAAAGAGGAAACGCCTGCCCAAATGGCTATGACAAATTTGTTTTCGCCCATTAAGGATGATTGACGTTTTGTAATTAGCACCCTCACCCATTATCCATTCATAGTCGAGATTTATATTTAGCATCATGCATGTTTTTTGCTCGGCAACTAGAGAGATTTGCAGAGATTTTAATTATGTACTATTTAAAACATGAGTAGCAGTGTTTTATCAGATATAAAGATGGTCTGATAAAACACGCCAGTGCTTTTTTTCAGGAATTTTCACTGGGGGGGGGATATGGAAAAAAGGCAGAACGAAAAATATGAGCCGTCGAGGTTTGGCTAAGCTAACGTGTGAGTCTGAAGAGAGATTTGTAAAACTTTAATTTATTAATTTCAGCTATATTTTACTTTAAACAATAACGTCAACTCTTTGTAGCTATAATCGTACAGCTATATATAACCAGTGGCGTAGCCAAACCTTTTTTTTTGGGGGGGGACGAACCTCACGGGGCGTGAGACCGTCTAGGAGGGTCCGCGGACATGCACCCAAGGAAAAATTTTGAAATCTAGGTTCCCTGAATTACGATTTGAAGCATTTTGAAGGTGAAATCTAGACACCATTTCCGCATTCTCAAAATTGAGTTGCTTTTTCATACGATACAGAATAAGTCTGAGAAGAAATATCCATGCTATGATTATGCATACATAAAAGTTAAAAATCTAAACTAAATCTATTCTTCTTGGAACCATATCTACAACTGTTCTTTATCGACAAGCGACATTTTGACGATTTTACAACTCAATTGTTTATAACGTAAATATCTCAGCGCGTATTCACTCCCTATAAAACAAAGAATACCATTGAAATCCTAATAAAATAACCTTTTCAACGGGGGGGGGGGTCGAATGCCTTCAAAGCATTACACAAACCGAAACAATCATATATTTACTCACCGCTTGGCCAAACATTCGGAATTCCGTTTCCACAATAGCGTAAATAACTTGTGAATTCTTCAGAGTTCGCCACAAATCAATATGAGTTAAATATTCCTTGTATTCAAGCGCTTTTATATCCAAAATTTCAATTGAATACAGCCAGTAGAAATGTTAGGCCGTTGGATGACGGTCGAAAATGTTCAATTCCGTAGCACCGCTCGTGTAACTACATAATTTTTACATGAATGGATAGATTGTAACGTTAAAATCCACTTCCCCGGCCCCCAAGCGAAATAGTTGCACAAATTGAAGTACAGCCTCTCCAAAGTACAGACGTCTTCGAATTTTGAAATCCGTGAACCTCCATTGTTGTGTTGCAAATACGCATGCGCTTTACCACAAAACATTTAATGCGCACGCGCAGATTAGAAAAACTGATCTCAATCCATGACTGGACAAACCTGGACAAGAAAACAATTATGAAATGTGCGAAAGCAGGGCTGAAATAAAACAAGATGACATCGAAGTGTTTTAAAAATATATGATATTTTTACGTCCTGTTCATTTTAATGGAGTTCGCCAAACATTCTGAGGCCAGGAACACTTCCAAGCCAACATTACAATAATAACTTATTTTTAAAAAAATATGATTGATTTTTATACTACAACAATTATATAACGTTCGCAAGCAAATCTTTTTTTCAGGCTTTAAATATTATCACAATCCTAAACATTCAGGACCGTACACAGCGGGTAGACAGGGGGGGGGGCAATTTTCCCCTTGAGAAAACTATATTTGCGATTTTTATAATGTCATTAATTATTCTTCGGATATTTGGGACTTTTTTCGGCATATAGACTTTTTGCCCCCTGGTGAAAAAATCCTGGGTACGGCCCTGTAAACATTCTAGGACACGCATATCGTAATTTATCATTTTGTTTGGGGGGGGAGGGGGGGGGGTGTTTCTAATATATACAAAGAATCTGTTGGCAGTGGTTTGATTATCTTTAAATATGCAACATCGGGTACTGTGATTTTTAGTCAAATATCATAATTATCTTTCAAATACAATACTTTCATGCTTCACGATTTTATACATTAATTGCTTACAGGAGAGGGCCGGGGGTGGAGAGGGGGTGGTGCTAAACAGAGAAATTACGACAGCTATAACAATCTTATTTATTTTCTAAATATTTCCTCGTCAATTTTATTGAGCCAAAGTTGGTTAGTCCAAACCTCAAGGGCCAACCTACCAATTGGTTACACTGACTGGAACTTCATTACAACTCTGTATTTGTATCAACAAATTTCCTCCTCAAACGGTTTTCGTCGATCCAATTTGTACAATCATCATTCTCAGTTTATAAAAAAAAAACAGAAGGAGGAAACAGCCTAGTAGGTTATAGGAGGTATTGTTATACAACAGCATTTCGTGACGTTTGCAATCTAAATATTAATTATAATAACTTGCGCATACAACGCGCGCATACCAAGAGAAAGGGAGTTTCCGTCTTATCTAATTAACATTGACAACTTTTCCGCAACACACTGTCCATTACTCAAGTAAATATAAATTTGGTATCCAACAGCAGTAAGACCCAAATCGGAACAAAATCAACAGATTGCCTGACTCAGACTGAGTAATTTGCTCTTTAT